ATGTGCAGGATGAGAACAGAAATCTCTCACCTAGGGTGCACTGAGAGCTTACAGGCAGCTTGACGCTAATGCAAAGAGACGAGTTGTCTGGGTTAATACCTGGCTGGGGAAAGACTGCAAAACCAGAAGGGAAGAGGATGCAGAATATTTTTCTGAATTTTATTAGGCTTTAGGGATTTAATCTCTCATTTATAATGTATATCAAAGTGATTGATAGTCTGATAGTGAGAGAGTAATCTAGAGGATTAATTAACCTTTCCCCTTGTAAACTTGAAGCAATCCATGTTGCTTTCGGAAGGCAAGATATGACCTGTTGCATGTACAATTTGCTGTACTTCACTAGTTTCTTTACATATGCTTGACGTTGTGTCTAGCAAAGTCCTAGACAATTCTGTCTTATTGGACTTGTGTTAAAATGCTTGATGACTTCTAGGTTCTTTTAAAATTTTAAATTTATTTTTTTAAAAGACACTTTAAGTTTCTTCTGCAGTTCTGACCATTGGATGTTTTGTGTTGCTTTGATCTTAACAGGGTTGCAAAGAGGCATCTCGGGTCTTTTGAAAAGACTGAGTAGAAGATGATGGTAGTTGCTGCTTGTCATTGCTCTTTGTAAAGGATTTAACAAAGCAAGCAACCTCAGGCATCAGCCATGAGGCCAGTGGGACTGCCTCATGGTGAAGAAGTCTTTGGAGCCAAATGAAAGGGGAAATGCCTCAAAATAAGATGATCTGGATGCTATTCCTTGCTTGGTCAGTATGACAGGGCAATTCTGCTTCTTGGATTTCTTTCTCGCTTGTTTGTTTGCTTTCTGCTCGTTGCTATGCACATGTTGCACCCAGTGAACCAGGTCCTGTATGTTGTCTTCTCTTTCTATCTTTCAGAAGGGCTGAGACATGTTCTGTCTTGTTTGCTTGTTTACCAATTTTATGAAAGCAACATAAAATGGGTAACAGTACTATGTGTGTATTGCATTATGAGACCTTTGGCCACCAATTACTTCTAATGCAGTAATTATTAAGTAAAATTGATCTGCCTGAGGTTACGAAATCAGAAATGGAGCACATCTGTCCTGACTCCTGGTCCAGTGACACAGCTGTTAATTCACTCAATTTCTACTTGAGTTCATTAAAAATCTTTTCCTACAGCTCTGCCTTCCTCAGCAGCCAAAAATTCTCCTTTTAATAGAAGAAAGGAGCCTCCTTTGGGACTGTAATTCTCCCCCAGTAAAAGAACTTACCCAGCTGAGACTATGTGCTACCTTTTGAAGTACTGTTAGCTCTTTCTGACCTGAGAAATGAGAGGGGAACTGAACTCTTATATCTAAGCTTGGAAAGCGTGCCTAATACAGTGTGCTAGACATTTTTCATGTCTGAATGCTGCAGATGTGTTTTAAAAGTTCTTGGAGATGAGAACTTGATTTATCATAACAAGGGAGATGCCCAGTCCTCTCCTAAGCCAACCAAACTCTTAAATGGAACTACAGAATGGGAAAATGAGTCAGGTGGGGTTGGGGTGCTGGTGGTGTGTTTTTTGTGGTGGTATTGGTGTTGTATTTTTTCCATTTAATAGATTTTGTAGTCAGCAGAGACCACCGTAGTCTAATCTGTTGCAGCAGTCAGTGATACAGAATTTCATACTGTGATTTCTTCATTGAGCCTATAATGTGTGGTTGAGTGTACTTTTTGGGTACATATCCATTCTTAATCTGTTTAAATTAGACCCATATGAGGGCTAGCCTTTTCACATGCTTAGTTTTAATGGTAATGACTAAGAAGTGGAGATGTACATACCTTCAGAAGAGAGCAGACATGCTTCACTACAACCAGGATGCTCAGAATGTGAGCTAACATGCCATTTGGTAACAAACTGGATTATACGTACTTCTCACTTCAGAACTATTTGAGTTTCATGATGTTAATTTAATTCTATGCTTGCAATGGTTCAAAAGTCATTTTGGGGGAGGGTTGGGGCTACTAAGGAGGTGTTTCAGTGTGCGTTGTTAGTCGCAAAATATTAATCCTATATGTTTCTTGATGAAGCCCTACATGTTTTAAAAAAAGTGGTTTCAGACCTCTTCCTGGTGTAACATATTAGCTATGCAACTCCAGAAAAGACTCTGTTAGTGTTTTTAATTATACAGAACAAAACTTAAAATGGAAATTGGTGTTGAATATATTCACATATTTAGCCTGACTCTGGTTCATCTTAAACCACTTTGGAACCATGGCTTAGGCTTTATATTCTGTAGCCTTCTCCAAAGCTTTAATTTCAGCTCTGAAAAAAGGCCAGTCTTATGTGGATGCTTTCTTTGTTCCTTGGGGTCAAATAGTTTAAATTGGTTGTGGTGTTTGTGGTGTTTTGTTTTGGTGGTGGTGGGTTTTTTTTGTTTTGTTTTTTTTTTTTTTTTTGGCTTGAGGAGGGTTTTGTTTGTTTTTTAAAGTATTTAAATGTTTTGTTTTCTATGAGTTATCAGTGCAATGCTTTGAAAAACTGCTGCAGAAACTTAAGTGTTATGAGCTAAAACTAAAGTAATAACAGGCTTTCTGCTGTCAAGTTTTAATCAGTATTGCAGTAGGGCATATACAAAATGTCACAAGTGCTTGTAGTTGAAAGTGGCCAAGAAGTGGGAGAAAGGAAAGAGGAAAGAAGAGTAAATCCCCTCATTCCTGCAGATGTTTGAGCTATGGAGACAATAGTACTTTAACAGACTGTTCTTCCCCTCTGTTCCAGGAGCAATGCCAATGCTCACAGGAACAGGGAACTTGGCAGTCACAGATGTCTCTCTTCATTAGTGTGCTGTGTCTCTTAAACTTTGTCTCATCTACCTCAGAGAGCAGCAGAATGGAGGCCTTTCTCAGAACTGAGGGACTCTGGGTAAGCTAGAAATTGGATTGTTAGAGCAACGTGTATTTGTGCACTTGCTGCTGCTTCTCTTCCTTAAGGCATTCCCTATTATATGATGTAAAATGCCAATGGTTAATGATGTAAAAGGCCAGCTAAAGGTAATGATCAAAAGCTTAAAGCCTGTCTTATCTGGGTGCCTTTAACTTGGACACTGAGATGCATAGAAAATGGTACACAAGTCGCCAGTGATACTCATGTCTTTTATCTCTCCTTTTCCCCCTTTCCTGCTGTGTGCCCTTGCTAGTTTTGTTTTGTTGTTTGTTTTTTTTTCTAATTATAACTTCATGTCTTGTACCCAATTTTTAAGGGGGTATCAGAGTTCACAGTGTGTGATGGGCTCTGTATAGAACCTGCAGAAATCCAGGCCAAATCAGGATCAAGCAAAACTCTTATTTCTCCTCAGTAGTTACTTAAACTGCCTAGATGAAGGGCACAAACCCCTGTTTAACTTCAAAGCATAGGATTTAAATAAAGTATGTGCTTTGTGCTTATGTTGAACTGGAATCATACAAGAATGATGCTAATTTCTTATGAGCACACGCATGTATAAATGTATACAAAACTGTCAGTTCACTGATTGCAATGTAACATGAAGATCGTATGTTGCCTTCCTGGAACAATGTTAGTCAAAGGAATCGATAAGGGGAGGGATATACATGTAGGATGCTTGTTATATTGTTGCACTGACTATAATTTCTGATGATGGACAGATTTCCTTTTCTTGTGCATCCATTGTACTAATTTGTTTTAAGATGTCAGTGATCAAATTTAGTAATGATAGTACCGAGTGAATGGGAGTCCTGAGATGTCCTGCTCTGGACTTCTAAACATGCATTTTTCTCTACGTATGTGTATATATACTCTGTGTATGAGAATATGGGTATATGTATCAGAACATTTTATATATATGTTTTCATTTCTACATTAACTGTTATTTTTATAGTAACTGCTTCATTATTTTTCCTTTAAAATTTGTCTCATAAAGCAGAGATTTGGCATTTTTATTTTACAAAATAATATTCTTTTTAAAGGTCATCTTCATGTAGGCTGCCAAGATATATACTGCTGCTGTGTTTTGCTTATGTGAGATTTTTTTTTTTTGTATACATCTATATCTACTTAGATACAGATATATATCAAACAATACCTATATAATTAGTTGCAGAGAGACAAATTTATATAGCAGTGTAGCACAGTATTGTTAGTGAAAAGGAGCAAGTGAGATGATCCTGCCTCCAGCCATGGCTCTGATCATCTTATGAAAGAACTGTCAGTCACTCTTTGATTCCTCCTGTCTTGTTGTGTCAGAGTTGGTATCCTATTTAATTTCTGTCAATGAAAAAATGCAAACTATTAGCTTTTCTATAAATACATATGAATTAAAAAAAGAAACAGGTTGACTTACAGGGATTCTTTTTTTTCTTATTCTTCTTCCTTGAAATATTTAGAGGCCCCTATCAATCTGAATTTGGAGTTGTAAAATACTGAATATCAGGAAATACAGAATACTCTAAACTTTGAAATTGCTCAAAAATGACTATATGGACAATGTAATTATTCTCATTTTATAGATAAGAAAGCTGTAGCTGAAGGATTATGAATCTTGGCTGAGTCTGGAACAAAGTGCAGGTTTTGTGTGTCCTGTGCTAATGTCTTAACAATGAATCTATGCTTATTTTAACTCATTATTCACCTACAGATACAATTTATTGTTGCTCAAGTAAGATCTTGTGTGTGCATGGTTTTTAACATTGTTTGGTACATAGGTTGGGAGTGGTGCGTCAGAAAATGTGGGTGAGGAGAGGAGAAGATAGGCATATCCATCTATTGCAATGATACAGCATCTAGGATAATGTGCATTGTTTGGAAGAAGAATCCATTAAGAGCAGCAAGCTTGAGAGCCAGGACAAATGACAGGATATGTGAAGAATTAGTTGGATGGAGCATCTGTTATTAATACTGAACAGTGCTTTTTGAAAACAAATGTGAAGCATTAGCGTGGTAGTGAGAATTAATGCTTTTTTGTGAAAAAGAGTGTAAGAGTCATGGTTTTCTTTATTTAGAAGTAATGTTGTCATTTCTTGCTTTATCTGAAGTCTGAACACAAATTCAGTTCACAGTGGAGAAGCAATGCCTGGAATGCTGGCTCTTTCTGATCCCCTAGAGGAAAGCATGCCTGGTCCGGCATAGCCGATCACCTCTCTTAGCGGGAGTTGAACTGCAAGCTTGATCAAGGCAAGGCAGGCTGGCTAATGCTCATCTACAGAGTGGTAAGCAATGGAAAATTAGCAGAAACTGTGGCACATGTGAGGGCTTTATTGATCTGATTTCCCTGCAGAACTGGTTTCTCCATGAAAGCAATCTACCTGCTCTCAGGACCAAAGGCATATACTCTGAAGTTTCATTGAGTCTGGCAATTGTGATAACTACAGATTGTTCTCAGGAGTCTTTCTCAGGTGGCACCAAAGAATAAATGCACCATAATCTCCTGTGTGTGCTGCCTCTCTCTCTCTCTCTCTCTCTCTCCACTTTTCTCTCCCCCTAAAATTTAATTTTTTTTTTTTTGTTACTACTGCTTTTCTGTAGCAGACTGGGATTTGAAGGATTTAGAATACTTTCTTTCAAAATCTGCAGTAACAATCCATTCTTCTTTTTTGTTAGGACTTACTTGACAGTTGACAGTGACAGCTGTGAATGTTGCTGTTTATAACACTAAAGGTTGAGTACATTTTATACTGAGGTCTGTGTAGTTTTCCCTCTGCTATAAACACAAGTTTATCAGCACAGATCATGCACAGAAAGGTTCAAGCTCAGCTCTTCACTGCAGAGATGTTAGTTGTTACAGCCTGTATGCAGATGGTGCTTTATGCAACTTTATAATGGCAGCTTTCATGGAAGGATCATAGACCACAATGATTAAGCATATTTTATAAGTATACTTGAGTATGGGTGTTATTTATAAACTCTATGTATTGAATACATTGCAGCACCTCTAGCATTTGTATCTGTTTTGGACATGCAGTGAGGGAGAAAGGGTACATCTCAGCGTACGCTACAGACTAGCTTCCGTCTCTTACTGTGTCAAGAAACTTTTGTGCCTCCCTTCCTCAGTTCTGTTTAGACTGTAAACTGGCACTGAGGAGGAAAGCTACCTCTCTGTGTACTAATACAAAGGAAGAAGAGGCAGGGATTTATCTGGCTTACAACATAAGAAGTCTTTGCTAAAAAGACAACTAATGAAGATTGGATTAATTTAATTAATTGTAATTTAATTTAATTTATTTAGATTGGATGTAAGGAAGAAATTTGTTACTGTGAGGGTGGTGAGGCACTGGAATGGGTTGCCCAGGGAGGTTGTGAATGCTCCATCCCTGGCATTGTTCAAGGCCAGGTTGGACAAAGCCTTGAGTGGTATGGTTTAGTGTGGGGTGTTCCTGCCCATGGCAGGGGGGTTGGAACTAGATGATCTTAAGGTCCTTTCCAACCCTAATTATTCTATGATTCTAATGAAAAAGCACCTTCCTGCTTGACTTTATGCCCTGCATTACTGAAATGCATTTGTAGAGCATGCATTCTGCTCAAGTTTCCGGCTGTCCATCTGTGAAGTGAGCAGCAGTTCTAACTTGTTAACTTACAAGTGGAAAAGTAACCTCTCTGTTTCTGATTAGATGTCAGGTAAGTGGGAAAGATGGACTGTTGATGTGTGACAGGGGAGACCAAGCAGAACATCATAGCTGTTTGTAGGCAGGCAGCTGTATATACAGAGCTACTGGCTAGATTGCCTGGGTTTAGGTGTATTGCTTCTGATGCTTGCAACACAGTAAATTCTTAGTTACATTGAAGTCCCCGGCTATATGAACCTAAGTGAATTTGAGACTTTACTGAAAATTCATGCAAATAAATTTAAGCCATAAATAATAACTGCATTCACAGTCTGAAAATTGTTATCTGAATACAAAAATGCTAGCCTAAAGGACTAAATTTAAAAGATTGTCAGCAGCTTCTAAGGTTCTATCTATCCAGTGCTTAATTCCAACTAGTATCTGGCAATTATTCTGTTATTTGGAACTCTAGTGGATCAATTATTTTGTAAAAATCTATCACCATTTACATTTTCATTTCCAAACAGGTAAATGATGGAAGAACTTTGGGCTTTGTCCATTTGAATCTGTTAGTTTGCGTGGCTAGATGTTGCATGGAAACATGCTTACCTGTGCTGTCAAATTTTCTGCTGATAACCTATTTCAGTCTATGTAACATAGCGCTAGGTGGCCAGAGTACAGGGATGCGCAGCATTTCCAAATAAACTGGCGCTGAAATAAATGGCACGAGCTGCAGATTCTTCTCCTCCATTAATTATTTGGCTTTAATACCATCATGTTAGAAAGTACTTTCCCCCCTCCCCCTGAAAGTTTCTGAGCTTCAATTATAAAAAATTATAAAATAATACTGGAATATGTACAATGATTTTTTTTTTTTTTCTCTCTGAAGGGCACAGAATCCTCGTCCATGAGACAATCTGTAGTAATTTCTGACAGGAAATTGTAGAGTTTTGGAGTAATCTCGGGCAGGACCCGCCAGCTGCTGCTGCTGGGCTTTCTGGTGTGGCGTGCGCCAGCAGGGGCCACCATCCTCCTCTGGGAAGCGCTTGGGCGGGGGCCGGGTAGCTGTGGTGGGAAAAGCACCTGACTCCTCGGGTTTCCGAAGTGCATTTCTGAGGTGGACAGTTCCCGGGGGACTGGGCTTTTCTCTCCAGGCTATGGAGGGTAAAGGACTTTGTGGCAGGAATGGATTTCTTACAGATTTTCATAGTCATTGGCTGTCTTGTAGCAGGGTGTGCTGCTCAGGTTACCCTAGTGCTGGAGGTCCAGAGTTAGGCTTTTCATGAGCCTCACTCAGAAGTTCATAAATGGGTTTTTGGGAATTGATTCCAAGAAAACAATCCCCTCTTCTCTTAGTTGGTGTACATGTGTGCTAAACCTCCCCCCAGAACTGTGCATGAGTTTCAGGGGTTTTGATTAGGAGTAGACTTTTATCTTCATACTAAGCCATCTATGCCCAGAAACACCATTTGCTTGTCTGTAGCAATGCTCTTGACTCTGAGGTTGCTCTCCCTTCCAGCAGCTCTTTGTTCCTAAGATCTGGATCGCTTCACAATCCTGGAGTAGTATCTCTGATCTACCCAGTCACAAATTCAGCATCAAGTGGCCATGCAGCCAGGGATCCAGCACATTTAATATGTTGTTTCACATGGCTTTTTAGTCTTCGATTTCTAACATTGCTAGATTAATGGGATGGTGAGGAAGGTTTGTCTGTTAATTGTCCACATTGCTGCTTAGGTGAGTTATTTGGGGATATTACTTGATTGACTTTATATGGAGGTATTTATGAGTGCTCTATTAGTTAAAACCTATTGGCTCAGGTCTAGATATGTGTATTGCACCCATGAATAGATCTTCTTATGCGAAAGCCCAAATGTTTTCTGGTGTTCTGTAGAGCAGAGGAACAAGCAGTAGGAAAAAAAACAGAGGCTGTTTTCTGGAACAATTGTGTTACGCTTGATGGTTTTGAAGGGGAGACTGTATAACTAATCTTTTACAGTGAAAGTCACCACTGCTGTTTCCTAATGTCACATTTTTCCCAGCCACTCCCTCCCTTCCCCCACCCTCCCCTTGGGTTGTTTGGGGATTTTTTTTACCCTGTTTACAGGGATTGTTCCTGTAAATCTTTGTGTTTCCACTGACTTCACTAGGGTATCTGTGTGGGAACTTTGCAGAATTGCACCCTTTGTATCTGTTGAATTATAAATGAAGGAAATTGAAAATAGCATTCTTGCTTTTAAGCATTTCTCACACACTAATTTTCCCTTTGGCTACCTGTGGTTAATCTGCCACCAATTAAAAAATAAATGCGGACAGCTACTATCAGATCACTTATACAAAGAGGCATGTAAAAGCGGATTATTTCAGGATACATATAACAATTCAGCTAGTATGCTCTTGTTGTTTTATATTGCAATGACTAGAACAAAGTTATTATAAAGATATGTGAAGGAAAGACTAATTTCCTGCCTCAAAGACCTCTTTATGTAAGGGTGTGTGTGTGTGTGTGTGTGTGTGTGTGTTACTTTCCTGACTTCTCCCCATTGTTCTGTTGTCCAGTGTTTACAGTCTTAATCTTCAGAAGTGTTTCTTTGTGAATTCAACTTTGCCTCTTTCTGAATATGTTTGAGTAAACTGGGTTTATCTGGCCCTCGTCTTTTGACACATATGCTTTACAGCCCACATAGACCAGGCAAGATATTTTTAGTACTGAGTCAATTGTGATTGAATGTTGAAGGAGTAAGGATTTGTTGCTTGTTAGGTGAATAAGTATTTTGAATCAGCAGGACAGTGTCCATTTTGAATCAATCTAAGCCAGTTTACTGTTCCTTATTATTTTCAAGCAAAAACCTAAAAGCTTCTTTAACACATGGAGAAAGCAGTTAAGTGTGCTTATGCAAGATTTTTGTGAGGCAGACCCACTACTTTCCAGCTGGGATCCGCTTTCAAAATATAAATTTATCAGAGAGACACAAAAAAGCGCTTTTCGTTTGACAGCAGTAGCAAGCAGGGGGTCTCAGACCATTTGCTGGTGAACAAGATTACATATCATAAAGCTGTCATGAGTTGGCACTAATTTGACAGTTTGTTGGCTCAAGAGACTCCAGCACTGTGAATGCAGGAGATAGAAATTTCTCTGTGATGCCATGAGGTTCATGTGGAGGGCATTGATGAATGGCAGACAAATTGGATTCTTGAGTAAAGTTGTCTCGTGCTGGGGATGGGGTGAGCATGTTAAACTTGACAAGTTTTGGTTGTAAAATGTGTAATGGAAGACAATGGGAGGATGAAGAATCCTTGAAAGTTGAAAAATCTGGATTTTTGTTATTCTGTATCTCTTTGGTGGGCCAACTTTAAGTATTTTTAACCTTGAACTAATCATCAGACTCTCTCCTACTCTACAGAATGGTTTACATTGAAATCTTTTATACCAGTCAGAATTTATTAGCTGTAAGATAATAATCCCTGGGCAATATGAAGGCTACTTTTCGTGTCTCAGACAATGGAGAGAGCAAGCGTGTCTGGGAAAGAATGTACATGAATAGAAATTAGGGAGACTATCCTGGAGGGAAAAATGAATGAGCATACAACAAGGGGGGTAAATAGCATGTATGCATGAGAGAGGAACGCTCATGGGTAAACCTTTGGTTGGATCCATGTTTACAAGGAATATCAATGCAACATTTCAAAAGCCATGTTTTCCTGGACATTAGTAAAATTATTGCTAAAACACTGGCTAATGTTTGTTGCACTTTACCTCAAAGTGCCACGATCATGCTGCACTTCAGCTAATTCTTAGCCTTGTTCATTAATCCATATGGAATACTAGGAACATTCAACATGAATTTGTCTTTTTTGTCCATTACTTTTTTTCCCACCCTCCCCAG